CAACTATCTGTTATTAGTTTAAATATGCATATACTTTATGTATGGGTATTATATAGTGGTCATTACCTCATTTTATAATACAATATTAAGTCTCAAATGAAACTTGTTTTTTAGGTAAAGGTTTACAGAAGTGACTCCATTCAGAGTAGAAAAACCATAAGCTGGAGTGTTTTAAGATTGTTCAGTAACTGTTTTCCAGTTGAGGCAAGTCTAATCTGGGATGCTTAAGCTACTTCAGAATTGGCTAAATAGTTTTCCATCATAACGGATCAGAGAAAAGCTCCTTTGACTCCTCACTGCTCCCTCTTCTTCCTGTCCTCCTCCCAGGAGTCAAGTGCAACCAGTGGTCTGAGGAGGCCTCAATGGTGTTTCGAACTCACGTGGAGAAGAAACCTCTGGTGGCACTGGTACAGACAGTCATTGAAAACGCTAACCCTTGGGACCGGAAAGTCGTGGTCTATTTAGTGGACACATCGTTGCCAGACACTGATATCTGGATTCATGATTTTATGTCAGAGTATCTGATAGAGCTTTCAAAAGTTAATTAATGACTGCTTCTGAAACCTTGACAACTAATTCCAATTTTTTAGCAATAACAAATTGTAGTAGCTTAAAAAAAGTCTTATCTCGGCTACATGGCTCTGACTGCTGTGGGGGATTGAAAAGAAGATGCTTATGTTTGATGGAAGATATTTAACAAGTTTTTGTTTTAACAGAGTTGACTTTTCAAAGAAAATTGTACTTGAATTATCACTATAATATTAGAATAAAAATGTTTATCAATATAAAAGCTGACTACCTTGTAATTTCTAGGCTTCATGATCTTAAGATGAAAGCTTCCTTTTCATGTTGTCTTCCTTGCAGCCTTGGGTTCTTCTCCAGTTAAGCTGAGAATGTTATGACTTAACTCTACCCTGATGTAGTAGTGTATCTCAAAAGCAAGTGATCATCAAAGCATGTGAGGACTTACCCTGAGTCTTAACACATCAGCATTTCCAGAGGAGCAGTCCAGGCACACCAACGTGGCCCTTAACCCAAATCTTGAGTGGCTTCTCTTCTCATTGCCCACAGAGTCCAGCTAAGACCCAGGCCTTCTGCAGTCCTCCTACCCAACCTCCTTGTCTACCACTCCCTGCTACACTGGACCTTTATTTGGTCACTGAACCCCTGCTTATTCCATTCTCTCAACCTGCGTCTCATTCTCCTCCCATCATTTTTGTTTGTCAGTGTCCTGCCTGACCTCCTGGGCCAACCATGAAGCTTTCTCTGGTGCCCCTTTCTACTCTATCGTTCTTTGATCATGCCTCTCTTGGCGCCCATATGTCACTATACTTTATAGTATATGACTAGTCTGTGCACCCATCACTCCAGCTAGATCGTGGTACCCCTGAAAGAGGGATGGATCTTAGTCATCTCTGGTGATATACTGGTAAATGTTTGACAGCTGTTTCTGTTGGGTGGGGAGCTGAGCCTTGATTTGTGGTGTCTGAAAATTATCATATTGTAAATAGTGCCACCATTCTTGATTTCCAGCTAATATGACATGACTGTGGAGTTAGGAAGAGAACTGTGTGACAGACTCTCCAGCACACCACTGTCTGAGCATCCACAACCATCAGAATGGGTCTTACGCACATTAGGCACTCCTTTTGTGCTTGCTAATTGGTAGACAGATAGATTGGAAGACAGACAGGTTATAAGTTTTAGGAGTGGTCCAAAGATGAGGTAGGGAGGCCCTGGACTAAGAGTGTTGAAGAAAAAGTGTTGCAGACTTGGTAAAGTTTTTAATTAAAATTATAAGCTTAGATACAGATAGGGAAGAGTGAAGCCAAGTTTTAAGGTCTGAGAGCCTAGGACCTTACTCAGATGAAGTGGGAAGCTTAAAAATTTGATTTTAAACATAGTGAATTTGAGCTAATAGACTTCCACGTAAAGATAGGCAGAATCTTGGAAATGTGGAATAAACTTCAGGGCAAAAACCAGGCTGGAAGTAAAAATTCTCAAAGACATTTGTTTGTTTTTATTTGAGAAAAAACGAGAAGAGAAAGAGGAAGGTAAAGACCAGATGTTTGAAGTTTTTCATTTTAAACATGCCAGTATTATCTCTAGCTTTTTAAAACTCAGTATTTACAACTAGTGATACAAAATTCAGGAATACCAAATGCCAGTGATTAATCATTTGTGATGAAATAAAAATATCTCAACACAGAAATGTTTAAGTGAAATAAACTGATAAAAATGTTTTTAATAATGGTTTCATTCCCTACCAAAAAAAAAAAAATGCAAAAGTCCTCAAATTGTCTACAAGGAAAAGGTAGTTTCTATTTCACTGACTTTAGAAATGTTTCCATTACTTTTTAAAATAAAGCAATAAATTGTTGATGTAACCACAAAATTAGTGCTAAGGCAGTGTGACACAAACAAATGAAATGTGAACCCTACCTCATGCCATATTCAAAAGTCACTTCCAGGTGGACTGAAAACCTAAACATTGGCCAGGCATGGTGGCTCATGCCTGTAACCTCAGGACTTTGAGGCAGGGTAGGAGCGGGGGTGGAATCACTTGAGGCCAGGAGTTTGAGACCAGCCTGGGCAACATGGCAAAACCCTGTCTCTACCAAAAAAAGGTTAGCCAGATGTGGTGGTGCACACCTGTAGTCCTATCTCTTCAGGAAGCTGAGGTGGTAGGATCACCTGAGCCTGGGAGGCAGAGGTTGCAGTGAGTCAAGATTGCCTACTACACTCTAGCCTGAATGATAGAGTCAGACCCTGTCTCAGGGAAAAAAAAAAAAAAAAAAGAGAGAGGGGGGGAGGGAGGGAAAGTAAACGTGAGGCTGGGCACAGTGGCTCACGCCTGTAATACCAGCACATTGGGAGGCTGAGGCAGGAGGATTGCTTGAGACCAGCCTGGGCAACATACCCTATCGCTACAAAAAAATGTTTTTAAATAGCTGGGCATGGTGGCTCATGCCTGTAATGCCAGCACTTTGAGAGGCTGAGGCTAAGGGGATGGCTTGAGCCCAGGAGGTTGAGGCTGCAGTGAGCTGTGATCACACCACTTTACTCCAGCAAAAAAGAACCTAAACATGAAAGGCTAAGGTGGAAAGATAACACAGGAAGATAACTTTATAGCCCAGGAACAGGAAAGAGTTCTTAAACAGGACACAGATTACTGTGAATAAAGGGAAAGATTGATAGACTGTATTAAAACTAAGAACACCTGCTTATCAAAATGTTAATAAGGTGAAAAGGCAAGAGTGGAAGAATATAACTGAGGATACACACACACACCATATAACCTATTCAATACATGAGACTATCCAGAAGAAAAATGGACAATAAATTCAAACAATTCACAAAACAAATCAAACTGGCCCATAAATCTGAAGTGATGTTCAACCCATCAGGATATAGGGAAATGCAAGTTCCAACCGCAGTAAGATACCATTACTCACGTACCAGAATGTCTAAAGTGTTTCCATTTTTGTTAATTCCAAGTGTTGCTGAAGATGTAAAACTACACCGGACAATGGTACTATGACTTTGGAAGAGTTCAGCCTTATTGCTGCTAAAGTTGAGGTTACGCTTTCTCTATTACCCAGCACTTCCAACAGCAGGTGTGCACGTGGACAGGAGGATCCTGGGCAAGAAATGTTCACAGCAGCAGCACTATTTGTAATAGCAAAAACCTGGAAACAACCTAAATGCACATTAATAATCAAATGGATTTAAAAAAAAAACAACTGTGGTATATTCATACAATGGAAAATTACAGCTGCATGAAACCACAGATTAACAACAGATTTGAACAAATGAAGACAAACTACAGAGGGGAGAAAAAAAGGAGATCACCTAAGGGTCAAGAAAGTGATCATCTTTAGAGGGGAGTTGGGACCCAGGAGGGACAGGTAGGCTTCTGGGCTGTTGGCAATGTTCTCTGAGTGATGTTTTCACAGGTGTTCAGACTATAAATAAAGTCATGAAGCTGCACATTTATTTTGTTTACACATACAACATAACTTATGTTGTATGTTCTTATGTGTTTGATTCACAACAAAAATGTTTTAAAATAATCCGAAATATTAAATCATTGCTTATTTATGGCATATACCCCTTGAAAATGGCATATACCCCTTGAAAAGAGAGTTCTCTTATAATTGTGAGGACTTTAGAGGAATACATTTTCTTGAGAAACAAAATTTGGGTAATGAGTGTTTCTCATTAATAACCTATACATTAGGATTAAGAGCTGATTTTATTAATGTCTATCCGACCAAAAGCTTTCCCATAATAATCCAAAATAAGACGTTTTCCTATTTCTATATAAATTCCTTTGCATGAGCCATTTGTTTATTAAAACACTTAAATTGGGTTTGGGTTAAACCACTTAAAGTGGTTTGTTCTGGGGGGAAAAAAAGCCCTTTAGGAACGTGGGTCTTTTTGTTGTGGTCATTCAAAATTAGTGTTTTATACCCTCCACCCGCTCTCAGTGTAGAGAGAATGCATTCGATTGCGTATTGAAACCACGTGTGGACAAAACGATCGCGGTTAAAGCTGCGGCTCAGAGCCCACCTGGCCTCGTTGCTGGGAGACACACGGAGCGGCGCTTCAATCAGAGGGGAAGGTACAGCAGCTGCTTAGCTGGCTTTGTTTCATCCATCACTTTTACGAACTTCGGATTCTCAAAATCTTAAATTCTAGACTCCACAGGAATGCAAATCTGCCCACCTTTTCCCACGTAACTCCACTGTCGCTCAAACTCTTCCTAGTACCAACGGGGAAGCGGAGACCCAAGCTGGGACCGACCGCGCTCTCTCTGCAGCAGCCCGATTTCCCAGCGCTACCGGCCCGGGGCCGCGTCCCCACGGGGAGGTGCACTGCGCCCGGCGCCCCCGAGTGGAGGGGGAAGGAAGGAGGGAGCCCGCCGCGGGCGGGGCGGGGCGCGGTGACAGCGTGAGCCGGGCCCGCCCCTGGCTCCCACCCCCGGAGCCCACAGCGCCCGCCCGCCCGTCGGCCGGGAGCTCGTCCAGCCCCGCGCTGCGCTCGCCCGCCCGCCGCCCGCCGGAGCACCGCGGCCGCCGCCCGCGTCCATCTGCCCGCCGCCCGCGACCGTCCAGCCGCCCGCGCCTTCGCCCGCGCCGGCCCCGCCGCTCTGCCTCCGGGTAAGTCCCCACCCCGCCTGGGGTCCCCCTTGCGCTCGCGGGGCTCCCTGCCCCCGCGCCGGGGCCTCAGCCATATCTGGGCAAAATATTCAGCTGTCGCCGCCGCCGCCAAGAGGGACTGAGCGTGGCTCCCTCTATAAATAGCTGCCGCCTCTTGTTGCCTCTGGGGCTGGGTAGCCCGGGTCTCGGGGTCCCGAGCCCGGCGCTCGCGTCTCCGCCTCCCCGCGCGCGCAGCCCTGGCCAGGGCGCCCTCCTCTCGGGACCTCCGCGTCGCGTCTGTAAACGCGAGAAGGAGTGGCGCCTGGGGCCGGGGTCCTGGTGGAGGGGCGCCCCGGCCGCCCGCGGGACTCCAGCGCGGCCGGGCTCTGCGCCCGCGGGGCGCTCTGCTGGGTACAGGTGCCCGCCCGAGCTGGGCGCGGGGGCGCAGACTTCTCTCCGCCGGCAAGAGTCTGGGGGTGGGAGTGGGGGCCTAAGGGCTCGACTGGACGTGGAGCCCAGGTTCGTGCTGAGAGTGTTTAGGGCAGGAAAAGTTTCCCAAATTGCGAGAGACAAGGTTTCAAGCACCAGGACACGCGCTACGCGGCCAGGTGGAACTGGAAAGGGCTCGGAGGTGGGAGCCCCAGGTTGTTGCCAGCTCTCAGCATGGCCTTGGAAGCCCCCTCTTGTTTCTGGTTCTCGGTTTCCCATTTGTAGGGGTGAGGTTTGGTAGCCGCGATGGAGCTGGGAACCCCGGCCGTGAGAACTGCAGGGCACGCTCTTGAACGCCTGCGCTCCCCCCACCTGTTCACCCGCTCCGGGCTTGCGATGCTGGGGTCCCAGACGCTCACATCCGCACAGGCTGCGAAAATCGGAGACTGGCTGCCCCCAGATCGATCGTATCCCGGGACCCACTAAGGCCCTCGGATACCCTGAGCCGTACACTCCTAGGAAATGAACTTTCGGGGGTGCCTATGGGCATCTCTCGGCTGCGTAGCCGGCATTGCTTTGGCAAAGCAGCCTGTGACCCCCACAGCTTCAGATGCCATGAGCTGGGCAGGGGTAGGTGGTCCAGTCCAGCCACAGTTTCCACACTGTTGATGCGCCCTTCAACCTACGCAGCGCGGCCTCCTCCTACACCCCTCACCCACCGCGGCTATTATGGACCCTGCCTCAGGCCCTCGCCTTACGCCCCCAGACTGTCTGAGACAACATGGCCTAAGCTCCTCTGACTGAATCGCAGAACCAGACCCTGAACCCAGGTGCTGGGCCCTCAGCGGGAGCACCCCTACGGCCCCCACCCCGTCTTTCCCCCAGAGGTGACTGCCATGTTGTGCTCCGTGCAGGGCCGCAGAGACCCCTGCTCAAGGTCACACGGGGCCGGTCACGCCAGAAGGTCTGCAGTCTCTCAGCCTTTTCCATCTCTTTCTGGACCCTTCCCTCTGCTCAGGCAGGTCCGGGAGCTCTGGGAGCGCCTGATCAATGCCCCCTCTTCTTTAATCTGCTGTTCAGGACTTTCTCTTGTCTGGACAACAGCGCCCTCATGCTGAAGTTTCATTTTTGTTTCTATTTTGCTTTCTTTTTTGTTTTTTTTTTTTTTTTTTTTTTTTTTTTTTTTTTTTTTTTTTTTTTTGCTAAAGCTATCTCAAAGCCTTACAGATAAAAGAATTAACGGAAAATGGAGCAAATAATAAAGTTTCCATCAATTAGAGTCACACAACCAACAGGCAGAGTGAAAACAAGAACACTGTCACTTTGGTATATTATCTTTAATGAGCTAGTCTTACAAACCCATGGTTTAGAAAGTCATTGGCCCTTGAGTTCCTCCTAGCCTAAGATGAAAGCCAGTGTAGTCTAAAAATAGCCTACGCCCAACCTTATCAGGGTCTCACACCTTCTCCCTCCTCCAGGGTCGGGAGTTTTCTAGCAGCTCAGCAAAAACAGAAAACACAGTAAGTTGTGGCAGCTCTGAGCAATGGGAGGTGGACTGGCCTGGAGGTTAGGATACCTGGCTCTGGCTCCAGCTCTGCCACCCACTCAGAGTAACCTTGAACAATGAGGGGCGGACAAGATGGTCTCTAGTGAACCTGGAGTGGAGAGGGCTTGGAATCTCCCTGGGAAGGCTTTCTAGCATGACCCATTCTGTAAGGAGGAGCTGGGGAAGGACTGAGAGAGTGTGGCTTTCCCCAGCGCCAAGGGAGAACAGAGGTGGGCAGTGTCACTTGCTGTGGAGAGACAGGAGTCGGGGGATGAGGACTGGAAAGGAGCCATCAGGATTGGCATGGATCATGAGGACTTTGACCAGGGCATTGCAGCAGGCTCAGAAAATGGGATCTGCCAGTGACCTAGCCTGTCTAAGCCTCAGTTTCTTCCTGTACACAGTGGAGATAACAATAGCCCCATTTCATGGGGGCTGCTTGTAGGAATTAAGTGAGATGATGCCAGGCAAGCCCTCAGCCCAGAGCCTGATATTGCAATGATAGTATTAGCTGTGGTGAGGGGCAGAGGCAGGAGCTAACGGGAGCTGAAGAAGTGGAGACAGAGCCTACAAATTTTTCTAAAAGCTTGCATGAGAAAGGAAGGGAGAGGACAGGTAGCAGGAACTGAAGACAAGGAACAGAGGGGAGGCAGGCATTCTGGAATAAAGAGTATGGCAAGAAGTGAGAAGAACCCAGGAGAGGTGACAGACTTAAAGGAGAATCTAAAGGATGTGCCCATAATGAGGACTGGGGAACTTCCTTAGTGACCTGCAGAATGTCACAGACTTCAGGTGGCCTTCATCCCCTGGAATGAGCAAAAAGTAAAAAGAAGCAGATCCTGGCTCAGACCCCTGTGTCCCTGGAGACCAGTATCTGTGAGGGAGGGTGGTGATAGGCCATGACAGGTATTTTGACCTGCTCCGGGGCCTCATGACCTTGGCTTACTTATTTCTGAAATGACATCATCTATCGATGACTCCTGCTAAGCCCAGTCGTAATAGCCTTTTCCAGCCAATGTTTTGATTTTCCAGTCTTACTAATGGACCAGCCAGGCTGCCAACATTTCTAAAGAGGCCAGTTCACTTTTCACTTAAGGCCAGAACACCAGATAGATCAATTATTGTGCTGCTAGGAGCCATTATTAGTTTAAAACCACAGGCCCCTTCCGGGGGAGAAGCATGGACCAGATAGCACAATTCCGCACTGTTTCCTCTCTTTTGTTTTGTTTTGTAAAATCTTCCTTTGGCTAATGATAGGACCTGATTCTCTTTGCTCCTAATGACAGAGTGAGCTCATTGGAGTCTACTTAGGACACGGCCTGGGAGGTTTTCTTTTGTGTTAGGTGGTGTTGGGTCTTTGTCTGATCTGAAAAACTAACTCAAGCATGCCTTTCGTTTCTCCTTCTCGAATGTCCTTTTGGTTTTCTCTCAGAAGAAATGATTTGTGAAAGGGTTGGAGATTATCATCTGTGAGGAGGAGAGAGGGAGGGAGAGGGAGACAAGGGCTTGCATCCATCCACCCGTGCCCACCCCTGTCTCAGTTCATCTTCTTGGGGGCCCCAGCCTTAGGCCCCACTCACTCTGGGGCTTCAAGGGTGGTGAGCCCAGGGCCGTTCCTTGCAACGATTCTGGAGGGTGATGAGTTGTGACCACTACGGTGTTGCTCTCCATGCCCAAAGTAGGAGGGAAAGCAGAACTGCCTCTTGGCATCCTTCAGCCTCCTTCACAGACGGATCGCTTCTGCCCGTCCCTTAGCTGTTGGTGCCACTCCTACCCTAGTCTTTCCACCCCACACTCTCACAGTCTCCTTCACTCCCACGGCTCCAGTCACCTCCCTAATTCTTGCATCGCTCTGGACTGCTCTCCTCATCTAGACACTCTGCCTCTTGCCTCCTTTCTCTTCACCGCCCCATTCATTTGCCCACCAAGTCCTGTCAACACTACCTGCCTTAATTCTCTTACGTTGTTTCTATCGCCTCATCCACTACCCCAGTTGAGGACTTCTCCATCTCTCCCCCAAGCCTCTTAAAGGTATTTCTGAGTCATTCCTCCTTCCATGCTGTTCTTAAAAGATCTCTACCTGTGTCAATGCTCTCCCTTCAGGGACTCCCCATTTCCTACGGGATAAAGACCAGATTCCTTGGCCTCTAAGATCAGGCCTCAAGCTACTACTCCAAAATCGTATCTAGGTGCTCCTCCAAATTCTCTTTACCTTCTGGTCATGGCAAAAGCATGCTGTGCCTTCATGCTTCCCTGCCTTTGCCTTGCTGTTCTTTCTGCGTTTGTTGCTATTCTCCCTCTTCTCAGCCTGTGAACTTGTCATCACCCTTAAAAGCAAAGTTCTTTATTGACTTACCTGTACCCCCAGAGCCCCCTGTGCCAACTCAGAGCACCAGCCAGAGTAGCGTGTTCTAAACGTAATCATCCAATGATACATCTTTGTCTCTGGCTAGACTAAAAGCTCCCTGAGGACGAAGTTTCTGGCTCATTTATTTCTGCTTCCCCACGTGCAGCTCAGAGCCTAATGTTTGACATAGTACAGGCACTTCAGGTTTTAATAAATGGTTGACCATTGAATGAATGAACACATCAAAGAGTAAATGAAGGCCCTGTGGTAACCATGACAGTCACACAACACCAAGCAGCATTTACAGCATGTTCTCCTCCCCAACCAAATCATCAGCTCTATGAGGCAGAGACCACACCTGTTCTGCTTCCTACTGCCAGGTCCCCAGCTCCCGTCAGCCCCATCATAATAAATAGCTAGTGTGTGAATCCATGTGCTTATTTGAAACTCACAGTAACCCCAAGAGGGAGGAACAGCAAGTATTATTACCTGTCTTTTGTAATTGGACGGTAAGCCCCAGTAGGAATTGTCCCAGGTCATCCAGTTATGCCAGGTCATCCAATTCCAGAAAACCAAAGTGCTCTCCAGGGTTTGGCAAACTTGAGAAATGAGTCTTCTTATTTTATATCCATGCTTCTCTAACTTTAATGTGCATTGAAATCTCTTGGGATCTTTTTAAAAAATGCAGATTCTGGTTCA